TGATCAAATTTGTGCCACAAGTACATGTTACTCCCACAGTCAGAAAACAAAAGAAGATCCTGCAAAGGTTTTAGAGCAGCTGGAGGGGCTGAAGGGAGCAATCACTTGTCCATGTGCTCGGAGCGCAACCAGGCCGGGCAGGCGGGCGGCTGCGGGTGACACTTCCTGTTGTCCCTTCCACCATGTAGAGCAGGTCACAGCTTCTCATCAGAGCCAGGGTCTAGTCATTTCAAGAAGAGTGTAGTGTAAGGTGCACGTTCTTGTACTTCTGGGCGCCGCCCATGCACCAGGCTCTGGGTAGGGGGGTGGTTGTGTGGGCTGCTGGCTGCCCAGAGGAGGGAGGTGCCCGGGGTGCCAGGTGGGTCTCACTGTGGTCTCCCCCGGACAGGATTACACCAGTGGAGCCCTGCTCACCGGCGACCTCAAGAAGATCCTCATCGAGGTTCTGCAGCCCTTGGTCGCCGAGCACCAGGCCCGGCGCCAGGAGGTCACGGACGAGGTCGTGAAGGAGTTCATGAGTCCCCGGAAGCTGTTCTATGACTTTCAGTAACACTCGTTTTATGGCCACATACCCCACCTTAATTGCTTCGCCACGCCCCTTAGGCTCTGCCCCAGGGTGATTGCTGGCCTGCGGTCTGCAGGCCGTGTGTGCATGTCAGTACTGCCTCTTCTGTGAACGTCATCCTTTCTGTCGCTTGTGAGCACAGCCCTGTGGGGGGATGGTGCCAGATGACGTCGTGTGGTCAGACAGACTGGTCCAGCTGGAGTCTCTCCCCCAGAGCAGCCCAGGGATGTGGCGCCCTCGGCCAGGTGTCCATCGGCCAGCCTGTTCTAGTCCCCAGCCCCACTTCCATTTGAAAGCATCCGACAGTTCCAAATATACTCTCAAAACCTGCTCCCTAAAAGCCTATGTGGTCTGTGCCTGTCATCAAACTAGAAAGTGCTTCGAAAAGTTAATGTGGGGATGCCAACGAGCACAAGATGTATCTCAGCCCGTGCTCCAAAAAATAAACCACATTGCCAGCTGAACACTTTGCTCTCTGTTTGACCGCGAGATCTCCCAGTTTGAAAGCTGCTTTGAGCATTGAGTACTGGCCAGAGTTGGCCAGTTTTTATTAAATTGAGTCTTTTGTTGGTGAAACTTTCCAGTTTATTTACAGAACTCCAGACCATGCATGTTCTCCACTCCAGAAATCATGCTCTTTTCCCTGGACACACTCATGTTTTGTTTCCACCAAATAATGCTGGACACTCCGGCCTGGAAACCGACGGCGCTTTGCTCCACCTGAGCCAGGCACTGCGGGTTTGCTGCCTCTGCAGATGCTTTTGTTTTGACACTTGACTGGCATGGAAGTCTGTCTGCACAGAGCAGTGCCCGGCCCGCGTCCCCCGGTGGGTGGGCGTAGCCAGAAAGCGCACAGCAGCCCCTCCCTGAGGCCCTCAGCAGTGCGTCTGTGGGAGGCCCGCTGAATTGTGCACCATGTGTAGTTTTGGAAAACCCGAAGACATACCTCAGGGAAAGCCCTTGGTTGAGGTGTCCTTCCTGGAGTCGCAGGGTCCACTCCTGAGTGCTTCGCCCTTGTGTTGCTCATTGGTATAAATAAACTTCCTCTGGTCCCGCCTGTGTTGCTGTGTTCTGTCCCAGGCTACAGGGGGCAGAGGCCTGCTTCAGGCCCAGGGCTGGGCTGCGCCTGCTGGTGAGAGCCGCGGCCCCTCCATGGATGGCCCGAGTCTACTGCGCCCCGTGGGGATGCTTGTGGCTTGGAGACACACTGTCCTGGAGCCCCCATGGCCCTGAGCTACAGGCTCCGGGAGCCAGCTGGGCAGCAGGCAGCCCTTACCTGCCTCCCTGGGGCTGGCTCTCACCTCACTCAACATTGCCAGCAGCCCATGGAGAATGCAAGCAGATGTCCTCATTTTGCGGATTAGGGAGCCGGCCGTGGGGTGGTCAGAGGTGGCAGTGACGGAGCCAGGCTGTGAGCTGGGCCGGCCCGTTCCATGGGGCCCAGAGCAGAGGCCCAGCTGTAATGGAGCCTTGGGCCCACTCTGCCCACCCATTCTTATTTTGCAAGTGGGGAAACTGAGGCTTAGGAGAGGGCAATGTGACTTGTCCAAGGCCACACAGTGAGTTTGTGACAGAGCAGGCCTGTCCGGGCTCTTCTGTTCTGGTTTCCACACACACAGAGGGGCTGTTCTACAAACGAGGGGCTGAGGGCTCCCCCAGGAGGCGCTGGGGTACGAGCATGCATCGTGACCTCGTCAGCGTCTCCTCTCCCGGCCTCAGCTCCCCTGGCTCAGCCCCCAGCCCCTGCTCACCTGGCTGGCTGTGGCCGTGCAGGTTAGCCACCTACAGAGGATGGCGAGGCTGCATGGCCCTGCGCAACTAACAAATGCGACCTGTTGCTCCGCGGCACCCACATCGCAGGCACAAGTGTGCGGATATGGCGAGGGGCCACGTGGAGTCCTCGGGGGCAGAGCTGCTGCTGCTGCCGTCCCCCAGCCACAGGGCCCGGGGTGGAGTGGGCATCATCGTGGGGGCCGTGGAAAGGAGGGGCTGTGGCCCCAAACACGCCTGCTCGTCCTGTGTCAGCTGCGTGACTTGGCGCCAGTCACTTAACCTCTCAGGACCCGTCCCTCCCCTGTAAAACCAGACCAATGACGCCTCGTGTTTGGGTCTTGGGAGCAGTGTCCTGGGTCACAGGTCAGGTGACTCCCCCAAGGTCATTGCTGGCCAGGGCCATGGACCCTCCCACGCCCCACATTTTGCTAAAAACCAGCGAGTTCTTAAAGGTCCCTGAGAGAGCCCCTGGATCAGGATGGACAGGTGCGACAGCCCAGCCGCTGTTGGGGGTGAGGCGGGAGGGCTTCTGCCGGAAGAGCTCTGACTGTCAATGTCCACTCGTCAGGCCCTGCTGTGCCCCATCCCCCAGCCTGGTGGGGAGACCAGTCGAGCTGCATCCCAGGGACGATGCGAAGAGCACACCTTGGAGAGCCCAAGGGGGAGCGGGGGAAGGGTGGCCGAGCAGTCAGAGGGGTGCACAGTCCAGGACAGCACTTGAGCTCCCCACGCCTGCCACATCGAACAGCGGCTCTCCGCCTTCCCAGAGGCCGATGCCTCTCCGGTCAGCTCACGGCTGTGGGAGCCCTTCGGTGCGCCCTTCATCTCCCCTCTGAAGTTTCAAGTGCAGCCTGGACCTTGTTGCGGCAGCCCTGTTTAGAGGGAAGCCCCAGCTGTCCCCGACGGTGTGACTCTGGGCACCCCCTCACCTCCCCATTTCTGAAGAGGGGGCTGGGAGGGCCTTGCCACCGAGAGGCTGCAGAGACAGGCGGCACCAGCCTTCTGCAAAGCCACTTCCCCAACATGGGCGAGGCCAGCTGCTCAGTGCCCGATGGTCCCTGCCCTCCTGTCCACACCAGCAGAGCAGGAACTCCTCCAAGGCCAGTGGGTGTTCTAGTGGGCTTCCGACCAAAAGTGGACGCACAGTCAGGTCTTTTTGTTGTTTTTCTTTTTTTTGAGAAAGATTAGCCCTGAGCTGACTGCTGCCAATCCTCCTCTTTTTGCTGAGGAAGACTGGCCCTGAGCTAACATCCACACCCATCTTCCTCTACTTTATATGTGGGACGCCTACCACAGCATGGCTTTTGCCAAGCGATGCCGTGTCTGCACCTGGGATCCGAACCGGCAAACCCCAGGCCACCGAAGCAGAATATGCGCACTTAGCCACTGCACCACCGGGCCAGCCCCTTGGGGTTTTGGTGAACTACTGAAACCTTTTGTCAGCTGACACCCCTTTCCCAGCACCTGGCCAGAACAGCTCAGCATCTTTACCTCCAAGCTCGATGAACTCCAGGAATCTACCTCAGGACTTCATTCACTCATTCACTGATCAGTGCATCATTCCACACCCCCTGAGCACCCACCCTGTGCAGGCCCTGAGCTGGGTGTACTCCAAATCAGACACCCGCTGCCCTTGGCAGCTCACAGTCTTGGGTGGGATAGGGGCCGGGGGTACAGATGGATGACCAGACGATGAACCAGGGCCCCGGGGGAGCAGAGCAGGAGACACCTAAAAGTGGCCTGGTGGTCAGGCAGGGAGAGCTTCCTGGAAGAGGTGATGCTTAGGAAGCAGAGTTAGCCAGGCAGAAGAGGGGGAAGGGCATTCCTGGCAGAGCGAGCAGAGTGTTAGGGAATATTTGGGTCAGTATGACTGGAGCAGGCTGGGAGGGGAGGTCCACCCAGGTGTTCTGGGAGTTTTGTTTGGCCAAAATGCTGGAGGTCCTTCTGTCCAAAGACGCAGTGAAGGCCGGTGTCTGTGAGTCAGGGAGTGTAGTCGAGGTAGGTGTCAGCTGGCTTTACCAGAGGGCTGCTGTGGTGGGGACCTGGCAGGTTCGTGCTGGACCTGCCAGCCCTGGCTCCCGATGGCCCCCCATTGTTGGAAACCTCGTGGTGCCAGGGAGAGGGCCAGAACCTCCAAAGTGCAGGCGCGAGTCGCCCTGCTCTTCTTGCTGTGTGGCCTTGGGCAGGCCCAGCTCCCTCTCTGAGCTGTTTCTTCACTGGCATCAAGCAGTTGTGATAACCTGTGTAAGGTGCCTGGTGCCCAGCAGTGTTCAGCAGTGCCCGCCCCTGCTTCCTCCCGGACCCCATAGAAAGGCGGCTCACGGCCAGGTGTCCGGGCAATGGAGGGGCCAGGGCAGCCGGCTGGACCTGGCTAGAACCCGGTTTCGCTCAGAAAGGGGGTGGTTTTGGGATGGGGGTGGGGAGGGGAGCAGGAATCATGCTGGACTCGGAACAGCCCCCTGTGACAGGGCTCAGCGCACAGGCGAGGCCTGCAGCCCCAAAGGCCGAGGGAGTGGAGGCAGCCGGAGCGCTGGGCTGGGCCTCACTGCGCCCGGCTGCACACAGGGAGCGCTGCCCACACAGGCTGGGAGGGCTCGGCTTCTGAGGATGAGCCGGAGGCGCAGAACCATCTCCAACCCCACAGACCACAGAGCAACGCCACTGACCGTCCTCAGAAACGTTTTATTGGCAACAGCTCTCCGCTGAGTCTCCTGGGTCTACAGGCAGAGTGAGGGTAGGTGACCAGACCCTGCCCCGAACCCCCAGGGCTGTCCCAGCAGTGTCCTCTCAGAGCAGCCGGTGCAGGGAACCATCTGGAGCCACACAGCTGCACCTCAGAATCGTCTGGCGGGGAGGCCAGCTGCGCCGCGTCCGAGGGACAGTGCGTGAGAGCCCACTGATGGCAGTGGAGAGCTGGCAGGGGGGCCGCGCGGACAGCTGAAGAAATGGACGGGGTACAGGCGCAAGTGGGCGGTGAAGACACGGGGGCAGGGAGGGGTGGCCACAAAGCTAGAATGAACCACTGACCAAATGCACAAACGGCTCCATGGGACGGCCGTCTTCACCCAAGAGGCCCACGCCCCCCGGCCCATGTGACCCTCAGGCCAACCCGGGCTGATGGCAGATGGCCCCTGACCTCCTCGTGGTCTGCAGGTGGGCAGGCCAAGCCCAGGCCTCGGCTGACTCACTGCGGCAGGCTCGGCTGTCCTGGGGACGGCCCAGTGGGGCCCAGACCCCGACGCACCCCTTCACCTCCCTCAGCCACTGCGACCTCCGGAAGCTGCTGGCGGGCTGGCCCCTGGGGCACAGGACCAGCTACGTGAGCAGGCCCCGGGCGAGCCTCAGCACAGCCTCGTAGGTGACAAAGACCGCCATGTTGACAGGGAAGGCGCGGCAGCAGTTGAGCGTCAGCCCCTTGAAGAGGACCCGTGGCCCCTCCTCCCGCACACTGGCTGCCATGCAGTGCAGGAGGCCCCGGTAGCGCCGCTGGCCCTGCCCATCCACCTGCAGGCGGGACTTGATTACGTCCATGGGGGTGGCCACGGCCCAGGCCAGGACCCCTGCACAGCCACCGGCCACCAGCACACCCAAGACATCTGCAAAGAGAGACCCAGGAGTGCCTGGATTGGAAGGGGAATCAGGGCCCAGAGGAGAGTGGGCAGACCGTCACGGGACCCTGGGCTCACTCCACCAACGTGATTGTCCACGGCCACAAAGAGCAGTACGTCCTGCTCCGGGTATGGAGGGCACCAAGGTTCCCGCCTGGGGAGGCGCCAGGGTACCAGCGTGTGGCATGACAGCAACCCCATCTCCTCTCCCGGGTCAGTCCCCGCTGGGCCGCCCCAGCCCCGCTCACCTGGCTGGCTGTGGCCGGCGGGGGTGAGCCACTCACAGAGGAGGGCGTAGGAGAGGAAGTAGGTGGCGAAGGAGTGGCCATCCCGAAAGAGCAGGGCTGAGCTGCCTCTGTAGAGACCCCGCAGCCCCTCCTCACGGGCCACCGTGGCCAGGCAGTGCAGCGGCCCGTGGTACTTGGGGCCAGGCACCGGCCTTCCAGGGGGCGCAGGACACACAGAGGGCACAGCCGAGGGCCCCGAGGTAGAGAGGCGCCGCTGCTGGGGCTGTGGCTGCGTCTGCGTCTGCAGGCGGACCTTGGCCACCTCGGTGGGCGAGGTCAGGAACACCTGGGGCAGAGGAGGCAGGGGTCGGGAGGCACTCTGCTTGCACACCTGGACCCGCCTCCCGTCGGCCTCATGTTGCCCACGGCGACATTGGGGAGCCTGAGTCCCCCGAAGCTTCAGGCTGGCCCAGGCCCTGATGGAGCCGGGTTCAAAGCCCACTCTGCCACCCCAGCCACAGCCAGCGGCCCCTTCAGCAGCACACAGTTATGAAGAGTCTGATAACATAATTCATAGGGCAATGACATACTAATGTTATTATTGTATTTAGTAACATTAATTTGTAACATGACAGTATCACTAATAATTTTTGCTGCTATTTCGTGAGTGCTCATACCTGTCAGACTCTATGCTGGGGCTCTACAGTCATGACCTCACATAATCCTCACCAAGCCTCTTACTGATGAAGAGACAGAGGCTCAGAGAGGCTCCCTAGCCTGCCCAAAGGCCCTCGGCTAACGAGAGTCAGTGGAGTGCTCTCCCACAGTGCCCTGGCCTCCATCCCGTCTCTGCCCTCACCAAGCCTCAGTTTCCCCGCCTGCTGGGCTTAGTGAGCTCTCAGGCCCTCTCAGCCTCTCCCGGCCCTGCGGTCCCAGGGCCCGCTCACCCCGCCCCACTCACGCGGACGAGCCCGGAAGCGAATCCTGAGAGCGTGATGTCGGTCTTCGCGGGCTTGGCATCAGCGCTGCCGTACCGGAACCGGCAGATGTGCGAGAGGCAGTGGCGGTAGGTGCCGAAGGACAGAGATGAGACCAAGGACACCGTGCACACGGGCAGTGAGAGGCCCCTGTAGAAGCCCCACACCTGGCGGGCAGGTGGACGGACGGGGGGCCACGTCAGGCCAGAGGCCTTCCCGGAGGAGGGGCTGCCCAAGGGTCTCGTCCTGTTCCGCCCTCCCTCACCGTGGGGCCTCGGGCAAGGCACTGGCTGCCCAGGGCCTCGGTTTCCTCAGCTGTGGAATGGGGATCGTGACCCTCAACCTGTGAGGTCATGCGGGCCGGAAGAGGCCCAGGGCCAGGCCTGACCTCAGGCCACTGTCTGCTGCTTCATTGTTGCTGTTTTTCTTTTGCTCTCCCCTGGCCATCACCGAGCCCCGAGCTTGCTTTGGGAAACATCCCCGGGTCCCTCCTCTGGATGGGTCTCTGGGCTGGACCCCGGGGACCTGAGCACTCCTCCCAGCCCTGCTTTCAAGGGGTGCCCAGCCTGCAACGGACGGAAGAGCAACACACGGGTCCCTCCCCTGCCTTTCGAAGGCCCCAGATGCCACCTCTCTGGAAGGGAGAGCTCACTGACAACACCCCCTGTGTGCCGGACGCCCCAGCTCTGGTCCTGAGAGGAATCCAGGAGGCTGGACAATTATTCCCGTTTGGAAGGTGCGAGCATGGACGTGATGCTCCGAGAGGGGCTCACCATCGCCTTGCTGGTTGGTGGGGGGCAGGCCTGGGGTGTGGGGCCCCGTCACCTCCCTGCCCATCACCCTGGCCCCAGCCTACCCGCTCTCGGCGATACGTGTCCCAGACACAGTGCCAGATGCCGGTGTACCTGGGCTCCGTCTGGATCCTGACCTGTGGGAGAAGCGAGCTTCAGGAAGGGGTGGCTCCAGGCCTCAGCAAGGTCAGCAGGTCCGGGGGAGGAGAAGAGTGAAGCCCTGACTGTCACAGCTGTGCTGGCCTTGGGCAGCAAGGACGGTGAGCCCCATTTAAGAGAAACCTGAGGCACAGTGGTTAGAAAGAGGGACCAACGGTCCTGAGGACCCTGGGGAGGACTGGGTTCGATGAGCACGCTGGAAAGGTCTTCTGGCCATGGATGGGGTACAGGAGACTCAGAGGGCGGCCTAAGCCCAGGTGGGGCCTTGGGGTGGGCAGGGGGGCCTGGCCATGGCCGCACCTTCACCGTGTCCAGCGGGTAGCCCACAGCAACACCGCAGACGCCTGGAAGGAAATCAGAGGAACCCGGTGAGCAGTGGGAGAGGCTGGGCCGGGCTCAGGGAAGGAGGAGGAGGGTGAAGCTGACTGCGCCTCCGCTGAGGGCAGACCCACCGCGCCCTCCTCGTCCACACCCTGTCTCATCAACGGAGACAGCGACCCTCGACCTGCAGGTGAGGACACTGAGGCTCAGAGAGGTAGATGAGGTCTGCCACGCTGCCAGCGACTTCTCCTTCCGAGTCTCAGCCCGAGAAAGCCACACGCTCCTTGCCCCCCCGACACCATGTTTGGGAGAACTTCGGGTCCGACACCTGCTGGGCCCTGTCTCCAAGCCAGGCAGGGTCCCCTCTGGCCTCGAGCTGGAAGGGTTTGTCTGTGAGTGGCTGTGGGGGGCCGGCGGAGGGGTCACAGTCCCCACAGAGGTGAGCGGCAGGGAGAGCCCGGGGCGCCCCAGGCTCCGGGAAAGACCACCTGGAGTCACCAGTTTGCATGGGACAGAGTGGGACTCGAGGATTCCTGCACCAGGGCCCACTGCCCCCTGCGAAGGGGGCCGCCTGCCACCATCCTGTTCCTTTCTTCTTTGCTGACACCAGAGCCTCAACGTCCAAGCCCCCAGCACTTGGCGGAGAGTGAGCAGGCAGATCCCTGGGGGCCATACCCTGGGGGTAGGGAGGGGAGGGCCATCTGAGGACAATAAGGCATGTGGTGGCTGTGTCCTATTTCCTATGCATCCCAGGACTCAATAAACATGCATGAATGAAAGAACAAAGTGAATGAATGGATGGATGAATGAACGAATACTGCCTGACTGACTGGGGTAGAATTATCCTCGTTGATCCTCACATGTACCTCATTGAATTCCTACTCATCCATCAGAGCCCCGCCACAGCATGGCCTCCTCTCTGGAGCCCTCCCTGACCCCTACATCTGGGCTGCCTCCGCCGGGAAACATGTTGATCAGAGCCCCTGTCACGTGGCTTTGCTCCTGTCGCATGGCATGCCACCTCTGCCTCCAGAACTAGAGTTCCTCAAGGACAAGGCCCAGGTCTGGTCTGTGTGACACAGGGCCAGGCACAGAGCAGGGGCCGTTTCTGCCCAGGCCTTCCTATGTGCACCAGAGGAAAGAGCAGGACTCGGGTGTCCTTTCTGGCTGTGTGATCATAAGCAATTCCTCCCCTTCTCTGAGCCTCCTCCTTCGGGGCCTAATGTCCAGGGAAGCAGCTGGCCTCAGGCCCAGTGCACAGTAGGTCTCAGAAAGCCCACTGGTGAGGCCAGGATGCTGGTCTTTCCCGGCTCGGCGCTGGCTCCCCTCCCGAGGCGAGTACCCCACGCTGTTCCCAGAAGTGTGAACGAGCAGCCCACGGCTGTTTCACAAGACGAGCAAGGTCAAGGATGCCTCGCCCAAAATAGCCTCTGCAGCCCGCACATGGATGGCCTGGGAGGGACCGGAGCCCGGCTGCAGCCTGCTTCCAGTGGGCCCCTTATCTCTCGGGGTCAGTCTTTCGCAACCAGCCCTTTCCCCAGGAGGGAAAACAGCTTGGGGGCCCAGAGAGGCCAGGAATGTCTGGGCAGGGCACACAGCCAGCAGAGAGGTGGGGCCGGCTCAGCTGGGCCTCCCCTCCTCCACTCACCCCTTCCGGTCTGTGTTGCAGGACCCAGGCCTTTCTGTCCTCACTGTCCACCCTCTCCTGGGGCCTCTTGTCCCTTCCCACTGCTCAGTCATCCCTCTCCACGCCAGTGACTCCCAGCCTCCACATGGCCAGGCAGAGACCACCCTCTGCCCCAAAATGGTGCCCCTCAGCTCCCCCCACTTCCTCCTGGGCCCTGTGTCACCTGTCCCAGTCTCCCAGGGACCTGCTCTCTCCTCCTGGCACCCGTGGTCCACACCACATCCCGTCTACTTCTGGGGTGCTCCCCAATCCCCACTGCTGCCGGAAGGCTGGCCCAGGGCAGAGTACCCCCCCAGCTCCTCCTGGTGTCCCGGGGAGAAGCAGTCCCCGTCTGTTACCTCCGATGGCTCCAGCAACAAAATCCATGGACAGCGTGGCTGGTGGGGAAGGCCCTGGGGTCTGCCTGCCTGGAAGCGGTCTGGTGCCACCACCCGGGTGGCCTCAACAGTTCCCAGCTGCTTTTGGACCTTAAATACCTGCGGTGGGGGGCAGGGGACAGGAGGCAAGAGGCAGCTGACCAGTGGCCACGTGCAGGGGCCATGCTGGGAGGCAAGCAGATCGATGCCCACGCCCACACTGGGCAGCTGGACTCACTCCCACCTTCCCCAAGGACAGTGTCCCAGTGCCCCCGGGACCCAGGTTCGGGGAAGTGTGTGAGAGGCCACAGGAGGTGTCAGGCTCTCAGGAAGCAGGATCACTGTCCCCATTGCCCTCAGGATCGGGCCCCAGGCCATGTCCAGACATCTCCTGGGGGCATCTGCCGATGCATCTGTGATGCCCCCGTTCCTCTGAGCCCAAACTCAGGCCGCCTCTGTGTCCTTGGGCACCCCAACTCCCCTAGAATTGCTCCTTCCCAGAATTGCTCAAAGCTCCCTCAATTATTCATCCAACAAACACTTTCTGAGCTGGAGCTGCACTGAGGCCTCTAAGACCCAGTCCTCATCCTCCAGGAGCTCCAGTTGTCAGGGAGGGAGTCAGGGAGATGGGCCACTGATGGCAGTGCCAGGAAACCCGGCCAGAGCCCTCCTGGGAACCCATGTCTACTCCATGCCCTTACACTGCCCTGGTCCCACACTGTCCCTACCACGTCCACACCTGTCTCCCTCTCCTCCGGGCACTCCCAAAGGGGAAGCTGCTCCAGTCAGAGGCCGCTTCCGTCCGCTGATCACTTGCAATCATTGTGAAAATAAGTGCCCCCTGCGGGTGCGCCTCACTTTACAGTTTACCAAGCCCTCTTCCCTCATCAGCTCACGGGGTCCTCTTCACAGCCCTGGGAGGAAGGCAGGGCTGGTGGTCCCCATTTTACAGGTGGAGCCACTGAGGCCCCAAAAGAGGACTTGTCCGAGGCCATGCAGGCGGCAGGACTGGCTCTGCCCACCAGAGATCTGGAACACGCAGCCCCCATCTGATGCTGAGGGCCGGAGAGGGGAGGCGTGGACACCCCCGCGCCTGGCCTTGGTGGCCATCACCCCCATGGGCCCTCAAAGGGGCTCAGCATGCCCCCCAATGTGACTCATGCTGCAGCCCTGCAAGGCAGCCACGGGGGACCCTGAGGCTTAGGGAGGCCATGCATCCACCCCAGGTCACATAAAGTGAGTGTCCCACTGAGCAGAAAGCCAACAGGACAGGGTGAGGGGGAGTGGACATCGCAGGGTCCCACCAGCCCTGTCCAGTGGGCCTCGGGGCAGGGGACACGTGTCTGCCCGTTGCCCTGTCCTCCAATGGGCGGACCCACAGGCTGGCCTTGAATATGCCGAATGCTGACCAAGGGGCAGCCCACGCCCACCTGCCCTGCTGTTTGTGTGCTGAGTGGGGGACAAGTTGGCAGTGGCAGCTGCCACACAGAGGGCAAAGGGCAGGATGCAGTCCATCCAAGGCCAGTCCTGATGCCCATCCTGGTCTTTAGAGAGACCCAGCTCAAATCTGGTTAGGAGCCAGGCTGCCTGCATTCACATCCCAGCTCCGCCGCTCATCCCAGCCCTGAGACCTGGAGCAAGCCCCTTGACCTCTCTGTGCCTCCATTTCTGCATCTATGAAATGACGCTAGGACCTGCCTCACATCTGTGACCACTCAGGGCAAGCTCCGGACGTGTCCCTGTGGGGGGTGGCCAAACACTAATGCTGCATTAATAGGAACATAGGGTCTGGAAGGAAGGAGGTGACAGGCTTGTTCTGAGCAGGGCAAATACAGTTGGGACTTGGGTTCAATTGCAGATCCTACACTCCAGAGGCCAGTACCTCAGATGGTGACAGAGCTGGAAGCCCATTGTCTAACTGAAAGAACAAGGACTGTTTAACCCCAGGTTTCTTACAGAGTCCAATATGCCCCACCCCCGGCACTGGAGCCAGCAGGCCACAAGCTGCCCCGGACGCCTTTCCCCCTGCGCCTCGAGTGCAGCGAGGCACTCAGCCTTACGGCCAGCTCTCTGAAGTTCACATTCAGATCCACACGTGCTCCATCTGCACTGCCCATCTGCATCCTTGCCCCTTGGACGACAGCCCTCTCCTGCCCGGCCTCTCCTCATGCAGCAGACACTGCATGTCACGACATGCCATGTTCTGGGCCCTGGGCCACAGCCATAGACAAAAGTCCCCACCCCGTGGATCCGACTTTCTAGGGAGGGAGACAGCAGCTAACACGAGAAACAACCACAATACGGAGCCTGCCAGGCGACCATAAATGCCAAGGAGAGAGACTGGGTAGGGAAGGACAGGGTGTGTGCGGGGCAGTGTCAGAAGGGGCAGCCCAAGAAGGTGACATCTGAGACCAGCGTGTTTTCTTCGTCACTGCAGCTAAGTTTCACCTGCCCTGTCTCCTGACCAAACACGTCTAAACTTCGCCCTTCTCCACAGTGGCCACAGGAAACGTGCCACCTCACCGCGCAGGCTGCTTGGCACAGGCCTAAATGTCTCCCCACCCAACTGTGAGCTTCTGGCAGGCAGGGTTGTGCCGGATTTGTTTCTGTGCCCACATCGCCCAGCACAAGGCAGAAACCCTGATGCTACTGGTGAATAAATGCATGAACAAAGGAGTCATGAACTGATGGGAGGGCGGATGAGGGGGGTGGAGGGAGGGAGGGAGGGATGGATGGATGGATGGATGGTGAGTAGATGGTGGATGGATGGATGGTGAGTAGATGGTGGATGGATGGATGGATGGATGGTGAGTAGATGGATGAATGGATGGATGGATGGATGGATGGAGTAGATGGATGGATGGATGGTGAGTAGATGGTGGATGGATGGATGGTGAGTAGATGGATGAATGGATGGATGGATGGATGGATGGTGAGTAGATGGGTGGATGGATGGATGGATGGATGGATGGTGAGTAGATGGATGGATGGTGAGTAGATGGATGAATGGATGGATGGATGGATGGATGGTGAGTAGATGGGTGGATGGATGGATGGATGGATGGTGAGTAGATGGGTGGATGGATGGTGAGTAGATGGGTGGATGGATGGTGGGTAGATGGGTGGATGGATGGATGGATGGATGGTGAGTAGATGGGTGGATGGATGGTGAGTAGATGGGTGGATGGATGGATGGATGGATGGTGAGTAGATGGGTGGATGGATGGTGAGTAGATGGGTGGATGGATGGATGGATGGATGGTGAGTAGATGGGTGGATGGATGGTGAGTAGATGGGTGGATGGATGGATGGATGGATGGTGAGTAGATGGTGGATGGATGGATGGTGAGTAGATGGATGAATGGATGGATGGATGGATGGATGGTGAGTAGATGGGTGGATGGATGGTGAGTAGATGGGTGGATGGATGGATGGTGAGTAGATGGGTGGATGGATGGTGAGTAGATGGGTGGATGGATGGATGGATGGATGGTGAGTAGATGGGTGGATGGATGGTGAGTAGTTGGGTGGATGGATGGATGGATGGATGGTGAGTAGATGGTGGATGGATGGATGGTGAGTAGATGGATGAATGGATGGATGGATGGATGGATGGTGAGTAGATGGATGAATGGATGGTGAGTAGATGGGTGGATGGATGGATGGATGGTGAGTAGATGGGTGGATGGATGGATGGATGGTGAGTAGATGGATGAATGGATGGATGGATGGATGGATGGTGAGTAGATGGGTGGATGGATGGATGGATGGATGGATGGTGAGTAGATGGGTGGATGGATGGTGAGTAGATGGGTGGATGGATGGATGGTGAGTAGATGGGTGGATGGATGGTGAGTAGATGGGTGGATGGATGGATGGATGGATGGTGAGTAGATGGTGGATGGATGGATGGTGAGTAGATGGATGAATGGATGGATGGATGGATGGATGGTGAGTAGATGGGTGGATGGATGGTGAGTAGATGGATGAATGGATGGATGGATGGATGGATGGTGAGTAGATGGGTGGATGGATGGATGGATGGTGAGTAGATGGATGGATGGATGGATGGTGAGTAGATGGATGAATGGATGGATGGATGGATGGATGGTGAGTAGATGGGTGGATGGATGGATGGATGGATGGTGAGTAGATGGGTGGATGGATGGTGAGTAGATGGGTGGATGGATGGTGAGTAGATGGGTGGATGGATGGATGGATGGATGGTGAGTAGATGGGTGGATGGATGGTGAGTAGATGGGTGGATGGATGGTGAGTAGATGGGTGGATGGATGGATGGATGGATGGTGAGTAGATGGGTGGATGGATGGATGGATGGATGGTGAGTAGATGGGTGGATGGATGGTGAGTAGATGGGTGGATGGATGGATGGATGGATGGTGAGTAGATGGGTGGATGGATGGTGAGTAGATGGGTGGATGGATGGATGGATGGATGGTGAGTAGATGGTGGATGGATGGATGGTGAGTAGATGGATGAATGGATGGATGGATGGATGGATGGTGAGTAGATGGGTGGATGGATGGTGAGTAGATGGGTGGATGGATGGATGGATGGATGGTGAGTAGATGGGTGGATGGATGGATGGATGGATGGTGAGTAGATGGGTGGATGGATGGTGAGTAGATGGGTGGATGGATGGTGAGTAGATGGTGGATGGATGGATGGATGGATGGTGAGTAGATGGTGGATGGATGGTGAGTAGATGGGTGGATGGATGGATGGATGGATGGTGAGTAGATGGGTGGATGGATGGTGAGTAGATGGGTGGATGGATGGATGGATGGATGGTGAGTAGATGGGTGGATGGATGGTGAGTAGATGGGTGGATGGATGGATGGATGGATGGTGAGTAGATGGTGGATGGATGGATGGTGAGTAGATGGATGAATGGATGGATGGATGGATGGATGGTGAGTAGATGGATGAATGGATGGATGGATGGATGGATGGTGAGTAGATGGGTGGATGGATGGATGGATGGATGGTGAGTAGATGGTGGATGGATGGATGGTGAGTAGATGGATGAATGGATGGATGGATGGATGGATGGTGAGTAGATGGGTGGATGGATGGTGAGTAGATGGGTGGATGGATGGATGGATGGATGGTGAGTAGATGGTGGATGGATGGATGGTGAGTAGATGGATGAATGGATGGATGGATGGATGGATGGTGAGTAGATGGATGAATGGATGGATGGATGGATGGATGGTGAGTAGATGGATGGATGGATGGTGAGTAGATGGGTGGATGGATGGTGAGTAGATGGGTGGATGGATGGATGGATGGATGGTGAGTAGATGGTGGATGGATGGATGGTGAGTAGATGGATGAATGGATGGATGGATGGATGGATGGATGGATGGTGAGTAGATGGGTGGATGGATGGTGAGTAGATGGGTGGATGGATGGTGAGTAGATGGGTGGATGGATGGATGGATGGTGAGTAGATGGGTGGATGGATGGTGAGTAGATGGGTGGATGGATGGATGGATGGATGGTGAGTAGATGGGTGGATGGATGGATGGATGGATGGTGAGTAGATGGGTGGATGGATGGTGAGTAGATGGGTGGATGGATGGTGAGTAGATGGGTGGATGGATGGATGGATGGATGGTGAGTAGATGGGTGGATGGATGGTGAGTAGATGGGTGGATGGATGGATGGATGGATGGTGAGTAGATGGTGGATGGATGGATGGTGAGTAGATGGATGAATGGATGGATGGATGGATGGTGAGTAGATGGATGGATGGATGGATGGTGAGTAGATGGGTGGATGGATGGTGAGTAGATGGTGGATGGATGGATGGTGAGCAGATGGATGAATGGATGGATGGATGGATGGATGGTGAGTAGATGGGTGGATGGATGGATAGATGGATGGTGAGTAGATGGATGAATGGATGGATGGATGGATTGATGGATGGTGAGTAGATGGGTGGATGGATGGTGAGTAGATGGGTGGATGGATGGATGGATGGATGAATGGATGGATGGATGGATTGATGGATGGTGAGTAGATGGGTGGATGGATGGTGAGTAGATGGGTGGATGGATGGTGAGTAGATGGGTGGATGGATGGTGAGTAGATGGGTGGATGGATGGTGAGTAGATGGGTGGATGGATGGATGGATGGATGAATGGATGGATGGATGGATTGATGGATGGTGAGTAGATGGGTGGATGGATGGTGAGTAGATGGGTGGATGGATGGATAGATGGATGGTGAGTAGATGGATGGATGGATGGATGGATGGATGGATGGTGAGTAGATGGGTGGATGGAGGGATGGACAGACAGACAGATGGACAGACAAATGCACAATGAATGATCAGATCCAGGGCAGGGTCACCTGCTCACACTTGGCTTGACCTAACACAGGAGATGGCAAAGAGGCCCGTCGGGTGGCTGGGTGGGCAGGGGTCTTATCAGGGAGAGCCCCCATGGTTTGGGGAAGAGCTCCAGCTGGGCACTCTCAGCCTGAGTTTGCCTCCTAGCTCCCCTCTCCCAGCTGTGTGACCTCAGGCCAGTGGTGTGACGGCTCTGAGTCTTGATTTCTCCAACAGGCAGCAGAACCTCAAGTCTTGTGTGGATGGCAGGAGGCAGAGCCCACGGGGCACCCGCTGAAGCCACCCTTCCCAACGGGCAGGGTTTCTATTATTAGCAGCCAGGCTGGGAAGGCCTCCTCCACCAACACAGCAGCCCCACCACGTGCGGCCTCGCCCGGCCTGTCCTCTAGGGGGAGACAGACATCACACAGACAACCCAGCCCAGGCCACCACAAAGCGCTCCGGAAGGTGGGCGCCCGGCAAGGGGCTTGACACATCCTAAAATGCATTTTCACATTTTAAAACAAAAGGAATAACTACAGGTTATTTTTTTTAATCCAGACCGAAGAGACGCAGCCGGCACAGAGAGTGAGATCCTCATGACCCAGATCTCCCAGGCGATGCAGGCAAACACCAGCGGTCTCTTTTCGACCATCGGTTTGCCGTGCTCCCTTCCCCTATCAATCTATCTGGGCTGCCGCGCCCCGCAGCGCCTGCAGACCTACTTTCTTTGTGTGCTCGGCCACGGTACCCGTGGTGTGGCTGCAGGGCTGGGGCTGAGCCTGGCCTCCCGGCTTGGCCCTGGCCCCCCGCTTCTCACTGTGGGGCCTGGGTGAACCCAGCCCACCTGGGACTCGGCATGCTTGTGCTTGTCTGTAACTGGAAGTTCTGTTACCCACCCCCACGCCGGCAGGGGGGCGGGGTGCGGGGACGACCCCGTCAGAGGCCAGAGCGCTCTCGCAGCTGCCCCTGCAGGCAGCAGGCGTTCTGATGTCCACACTGTGATTTGACTCAGTACTGATGGGCTTGGGGCTCGTCTGCAGTTCATTACAGAAAGTGCTCCAGAGAACACGTTCTGGGGTCCTCAGTGCTCCAGAGGGACACGTTCTCAGAGCGGAGACAGCTGCTCAAAGATACCTGAGCTCTTTCTAATTTTCATGTACTTTGCCACTTTGGCAGAATTTGGAGGGCTGAGGAAGGACAGTGGGACTTCCGGGCAATGGAAATGACCCAGGAGCCCAGAGTAGGCACTGGGGGGCCGGACCGGCTCCAGAGATCAACCGGCAGCCCTGGCACTTCCAGAAAAGGGGGCTCCTTGGCCA